ATGTCGTCGCCATGCTGTGGCCATGCCGTTGCCATGCCGTCGCCCTTTAATTGCCTTGCCGTTGGCGTGCCGATACATTGCTGTCGTCATTTGGTTGTCCTGCCGTCGACTCATTGGCAGTGCCTGTTGCCTTCGTTTTGAGGGGCCAGACTAACAGAGGCCTATAGGCCGTAGCTAATAAATAAGCAACTATGTAACCAGATAATTAAATAAGTAAGTAGATAAGTAAGTAAGTAAGTAAGTAATTAAGTAAGTAAGTAAGTGACTAACTAACTAACTAACTAGCTAACTAACTAACTAACTAACTAACTAACTAACTAACTAACTAGCTGACTAACAAACGAACCAGCTAACCAAATAACCAACTAACAAACTCACCAACTAACCAACTAACCGCCTAATCAATTAGCGAACTATCGAAGTGACGAACTAACGAACTAACGAGCTAGGTAACAAACAAACAAACTGTGTAACTAACTACGCTAAACGAAAATAAAACAAAAACAAAACCAACACAAAACAAAATTAAATTAAACTACCAACTAACTAACTACCTAACTAACAAACTCACTGACTGACTGGTGGACTGACTGGTTACCTAACTTACTGAGTACTTGGCAACCAAACTAACCAACAAATTAATTAACGCGCTAACTAATTAACAAACAAACAAATTAACAAACAAACGAACCAACCAACCATCTAACTAATTAAGTAACTAACTAACTAGCTAGTTAATTAATGAGTTAACTAACCAACAATTCAAAGAACCCCCTAATTCAACAACTAATACTCAAGCGCCCACTCTCTCATGCATTCACTCACTCATTTATTCACTCACTCACACACGCACGCGCTCAGTCAGTCAGTCAGTCCCTCACTCACTCACTCACTCACGCACGCACGCACGCACTCACCCACTAAGTAACGAACGAATTAACAAACGAAGTAACGAACAAACTAACACCTTACTAGTACTTACTGCTATCACTGCTACTTACTACTGCTTATTGCTGTTTACTCCTTTTTTTTTAAACTACTACTTACTACTACTTACTTCTACTTGCTACTGCTTGCTACTTGTTGTTGTTGTTGTTGTTGTGGTTGTTGTTGTTGTTGTCGTTGTTCCTGTCCTTGTCGTCGTCGTCCTGGTCGTTGTCGTCGTCCTTATCGTGGTGTTGGTGGTGGTGGTTGTGGTGGTGGTTGTGGCTGTTGTCGTGGTTGTTGTCGTGGTGGTGGTGGTGGTGGTGGTGGTGGTTCTTGTTGCTGTTGCTGTTGCTGTTGTTGTTGCTGTTGCTGT